ACTCCTGCCAGGGTGGAGATTTTTGAAAACTACGTTTTTGTGTTTAGGTGTGGACGAGGAAAACGGACACACACACACACAAACTTAAAGAGTAAAATTGGGCTGAGCACACATGACCCAGGTGAGGAAACACTATCACAGGGAGTCGTCTGCACTGGGAGCCGGTCACAGACTGCAGCCTCCAGGCTGGGCACACAGCAGGAGGGAGGCAAAGAAGCCCCCCAGCCACGCTGAGAAGACCCACAGAGCCTCAGCAGCCACGGTCGAGCAGCCCTGGTGCAGAGAGCCCCCTCCGAGGAAACACTGGATGTGTGGTGGTTCAGTCCCAGTCTGCTCCAGTCAGTATGCCAAATATCGTTGGACAGGATACTAACCCCATGTTACTGTTGTGTGTGTGAATGCTCGTTAGCAAGCACTTAGTAATAAAGAGCAATTATAGTTTGCTGTTTGTTGAACTTTAACTTCAAATTTCTCCCTTTTCAAAATATTTTCAAAGCAATTTTATAGGAATTTAACCGCCGACAGTTTTAAAATTCACGTTTAAATCTCATAAGTGCTGACAATAGGAACATTGTGATCCTTTTAGCTACATTACAGAAAGTTAAATAAGTGATAAAAGCCTGTATGTTTGCTTTAATCACTCATTTATAGTTCTTGACTGTATAAACACAGAACGATTTAAATACTTTACTGTCTAAGTGCTACAGGAAAATAAAGGCTTCCTCTGTGAAGCTCGGCTGGTTGGCACTTAGCAGCTCGTTTATCTTTGTTTGTTGTCTTTACCAGGATGAACTTCAGGTACCGAATCTTCACTCACTTCGCCCGGTTCCATGGAAACCATCAGCTTTGTGCTGATCAACAAGTTAAAACGTTTTTGTTGACATGTAGGAATACACAAGCTTTAATGTCATATTGTGTTACAACTGCAAATATAATGTAACGAGAAGTATAACACAATGCTTTTAGGAATTAAATGAGTGAGGTAATACACGGTAAAACATTATTTAAAAAGTAGCAGGTAATCTATTACTTTTTTTCGAGTAATATTCCCAATATTGCTCATCAGGCAGCTACACAGGATGGTCACTGCTTTTTGTCTTTGTATTGTCACCAGAGATGGGTAA